CGTAAAGTAACGAAACTAAACCTTACCTTTACTTTACTAGTATACCACTACTATACTACCACCTACCTACGACGTAACGTTTAATTACTACGCGACCCACCACCTACTCTCTCCTCCTCCTCTCTCTCTCTCTCTCTCTCACCCACCACACACACACATCAAGTTACAATTCTAAACAACCATACCTTGCGATAATCAAGTAGTCCTTCAAAAGGAAGCTCGAGTTCATCACTGACTATAACTGGGATGCAACCACTGACAATAGCATCGAATAGTCTAGCAGACGATGGAGTGTCTCCTGCCGGACTTAGGCAAAAGATAGATCTGAACACAAAGAAGCATAAAGAGCAAGACATTTACAAGGGGTTATACAATAATAGTCCACTGAAATACTGAAAACCATAACCACTAGGGTCATGACCATCTGATGCAATGATGGATGATGGAGAGAGGGTGGGGGTCATGTCCAGTCTGATGGGCCCCACTCATCCATCAATTTAGTGAATAGTGTCACTCATCGAACAACAACGACAACAACAACAACAACAACAACAAATGAAAGGGAGAAAAAAAAAAGAGGAAAGACCCCAATAGCTCCCATAACCACATGGGCAATCTAACGTACTTGCCTACACAAAGTACTTTTATCAATGTTTTCTTTCTGGTTGGCTATCTAAAGGTCCTTTAAATTGACAATTAGATCAAGAATTCTAGGTTATAGTGAAGCTGATTAGAAAGCAAGGGACAAAAAATAGAAGTATATTACTCATTAAATAATAGATACTTAAATAAATTATATTAGATACTATACCTGCGCATTCCATCCTGAGCTGCTGCTTTGCCCTTGTCCCCAGCAGTTCCCTCTTCAATAACAACACCTTCAGCACCACGGAGCTCTTCAACCAATTTCCAGCGGATCTTTCCTCCCTACAAAAATTCAAAAACTATCACAGCTCTATCCTACAAAAAGAACTTGATAGTTACAATAAAGTAGAAATATGATAGCTATTGAATTATAGCTTCATAGGGAAATGCTATCATTGTTTTTAGTATTCAGCATCAAAGTTACAATCTAGTGCCAATACAAAGGAAAGCAAACTGTATTGGATCTAAACATTTAAGTAGCACTAGTTTCCATAAATTACAAATTACTGTGGCACCAAAGTAAATCAAGATGGCAAGCCCAGACTTGGCATGCAGTGGCACAATTCCATTTTGTAACTACAAAGTAATAGCAGGGGCAATTTTTACAGACAAGTAAGCCCGGGTACTTAAAGCTTCAAGGAAAGAAACTTTCCTATAGACAAACATAAAAATCAAAAAGACATTTGGTTTAATCAAATTCTATTTAAATTAAAGATTGATCAAAGAAAAATGGGCAATCAAAATAAGCCCTCTAATTCTCTCCCACCTATACTGTTTTGATGCACCAAAAAGCAATGACACCTCTGTCCTTGCATCCCTTCCCTTCCTCTAATCCCATACACTGCAACCTCCCCAACCTCATTCCAGTTTGTAATTCCCATCCCTCTACTCAGCAAAAACCCCACACTTTCCTCTGTCCAGAGGTTACTCTACCCTGCTCCCACCTCTTCAATCTAGGCTTCCAATGCAAGAGACGAGCGTCAGTCCCCAACTCTTTCGCCTCCCCTGCTATTCTCAAAAAATCTCACACCACAATTCTCAGTATCCACCAAAAGTCAAAAAATTATGACCAAGAAAGGGTTTCCTTCAACCAGTGTTTCAAAAAATGGTCCACCCACGCCTAGGAAACCTAGACCGTAACCACCGCATGCCCAGACCCAGGTGGCGCAACACGGGCAGATGTACCTGGCGGGCACCCAGCGCCCAGTTCTGGGCAGGCGTCCCAGGGCTGTAGGCCCTTTCTTGTTTTTTTAAGTAACCGAAAAGGGCAAATGGGGTCATTTTTCCCCAAGATAGTATAAATATAGGGTGGGGGTTATTTTTAACACCTAAAGTGAAAAAAACACCCTCAATCTCTATGCTAAACGTATTTATAAGAATCTAAAGTAATTTTTGAGAATTGACAGTATTTTTGGTGGATTGAAAAGTTACTTTTTCTCATTGTTGTGTGGTTGCTTATACTTTTGGAAGTCAGCTTGTTGAAGACTTGGAGAGTTGGAGACTTGGATGTTACTATGGTTTATTTTATGGATATGGAATAAGAGAGCTGGAGACCTTAAATAGCCTATTAGACTTTTAAATGTTTTGTATGGTTTGAAATTTTGAAAAAGTTTATCCTCAACCTGCGATAGGTCATATGTTTGTATATATAAACATAAGTTGGAATATTTTCAAATGCAATAAATTACAAAATTGACACAAA